TTTTCAGGTCCATAGCCAAAGGGAACCTGTCCTCCTCCCCAATTTTGTGAAGGTAAGTTGCGATCACGTTTACTTATATGGGAAAGAGTCAAGGCTGTTTTCTACCCAGTTGCTCACTCAGAAGTAAACTGCGTCTTGATCAGATCAAGTCAGTAATGCTACACTGGGCAAAGGATTTGGGACATAATGTTCAGACGGCAGATTGGGAAAGGTAATGGAAATCAGATTTGAAATTTATGGCTTTGAATTTATGGCATTGAAGGAAAATTATATGAAAATAATGTACTGGTGGTATTTGACTCCTACTAAGTTAGCAAAAAAGGGACGCAGGTGGCGCTGTGGTTTAAACCACAGAGCCTAGGGCTTGCCGATCAGAAGGTTGGCGGTTCGAATCCCCGTGACGGGGTGAGCTCTCATTGCTTGGTCCCTGCTCCTGCCAACCTAGAAGTTCGAAAGCACATCAAAGTGCAAGTAGATAAATAGGTATGGCTCCGGCGGGAAGGTAAACAGCGTTTCCATGCGCTGCTCTGGTCATTTTGGCCACATGACCTGGAAGCTGTACACCAGCTCCCTCGGCCAATAAAGCGAGATGAGCGCCACAACCCCAGAGTCATCCGTGAGTGGACCTAATGGTCAGGGGTCCCTTTACCTTTAAGTTAGTAAAAATGTATAAGACAAGTTCAAATATCTGCTGGAAAGGTAAAGAAAAAGAAGGTACCTTTTATCATATATGGTGTGGACTTGTAAGGTAATAAAAGCTTTCCGGGAGATCATACATGATGAAATGAAAAAAAAAATACTTAACATAACCTTTGTTAAGAAACAAGAAGCCTTTTTTATTAGGAATTGCAGGTATCGACATACCAAAGGAGCAGAAAAGACTCACTATGTATGGAACAACTGCCGCCCAGATGTTATTAGCCCAGAGCTGGAAAGAAGACAAAGTCCCTACCAGAGAAGAATGGCAAACCAAGTTGATGGACTGTGCCGAGATGGCAAAGCTGACTGGAGGATAAAATGATAAAAAAGGATAAAAACTTTATAAAAGAATAGGGAAACTTATGTTAATTAGGAGACTGCTGTAAGCAGATGGGAAAAAGAGCAGGATTTTGACTCACTTGTAGTGAAAACAACACTATGGACAATATAGGTAAATATAGGAAAATATAGGACCATTGGGTCCAGTCGCGGACGACTCTGGGGTTGCGGCGCTCATCTCGCTTTACTGGCCGAGGGAGCTGGCGTACAGCTTCCGGGTCATGTGGCCAGCATGACTAAGCCACTTCTGGCGAACCAGAGCAGTGCATGGAAACGCCGTTTACCTTCCTGCCGGAGTGGTACCTATTTATCTACTTGCACTTGGACGTGCTTTCGAACTGCTAGATTGGCAGGTGCTGGGACCGAGCAACGGGAGCTCACCCCATTGCGGGGTTTCGAACTGCCGACCTTCTGATCGGCAAGCCCTAGGCTCTGTGGTTTAACCCACAACGCCACCTGCATCCCATGGACAATATGGTTTGATATAAAAACTGGAGTACGGATGAATATGCTGTTGTAGATGCGTAAAGGAAGACTCCATGGAGGGGATGGAGGGAGGGAAGTCTCGAGATTTGGAGAATCTCCTTATACAGATTTGTTTTTACTAGTTTGTGTTTATTTGTGCTTTGTATTTGTAAAACCAATAAAAATGATTAAAAAGAAGAAGAAGTAAACTGTGTCTTGCTTTCTGGTTTTGCCCTAAAGGGCAAAACGTGGCAGTGGGTGGACAGGCACTTGAGGAACACATTGCCAGTGGATGTGGCAAAGCCGAGGATGGCACACACATTCAAGAGGTAAGAGCATTCATTCTTCGGCAAACCCGGTGCAGCTAAGATTCCGGTCCCTGCACAGCTATCCTTGTCATGGGTGGTAGTAGCGCTTTGTTGGTTTCGGCTGCAGACAGGCAGAACCATTTTAAAAAAGCTTTAACCTTAGATAGGAAAAGTACGGTAAAGACTGGGTGTGCCTCCTGACCAGTGCCAGATTTACATACAGTGGTACCTTGGGTTACATACATGACCCAGAAATAGTACCTCGGGTTAAGAACTTTGCTTCAGGATGAGAACAGAAATTGTGCTCCAGCGGCGCAGCAGCAGCAGGAGGCCCCATTAGCTAAAGTGGTGCTTCAGGTTAAGAACAGTTTCAGGTTAAGAACGGACATCCAGAAAGAACTAAGTACTTAACCCAAGGTACCACTGTATAAGCTAAACAAGCTATAGCTTGGAGCCCCACTCTCTTGGGGGTACCCTAAAAATTTAAAGGAAAAAACACCTGGATGTACATTTCCAAAATATAAGATAAAAAACAAATAAAATAAAACCTACATACAGCAACAGTGTTTTCTGTTGTGTGGGCTCCTATGATGTAAGCCATGGGCCCCGCCTGCTAGCCTGCTCCCTAAAATATCACTGGTTTGCTCCATCCTATATACAGTGGTACCTCGGGTTAAGTACTTAATTCGTTCCAGAGGTTCGTACTTAACCTGAAACTGTTCTTAACCTGAAGCACCACTTTAGCTAACGGGGCCTCCTGCTACTGCCGCTCCGCCGGAGCACAGTTTCTGTTCTTATCCTGAAGCAAAGTTTTTAACCTGAAGCACTATTTCTGGGTTAGCGGAGTCTGTAACCTGAAGCGTATGTAACCCAAGGTACCACTGTATAGGGTGCCTACATTCTGCATGGATTGGTTGCAAATGGCTTTAGATACCTATTACCATATAGCATATATTCAACACAAAAAACAGCGACAATTTGTTGTTGACAAAGGACAGCTTGACATATAAAGGGCCCCATTACCTTCAGTAGCTTAGGGCCTCATCAAACCTAAATCCGGCCCTGCTCCTGACCAGTCTCACGGCTTCTCAAGTGTTAACTTGATCTTCAGCCAAAGAGAAAGGGCCAACAGGACTGGCGATCTTCAGTACAAAGAGGAAACCCGATACATTTCAGTCCTCTCACTCCCAGCACCCTCTGCCTCGCTGCCTTGCAGGAGAGGATGCTGCGAAAGGAAGCCACAAGAGCCGGTGAACCAAGAGCTACCAGCAATCTTTCCTGATTTATTACTTCATTCATTAATCCATATATGAAGCGCAATTTAGGATAAGGCTCAGAAATCCTTGCTGTGACATGTTCTCGCATATTTGATAAATGATTCCTCCGGCAGAGGCTTGAAGGGCATCTGCAGTAAATTGTGCTGAGATCTATTTTTCAAAACACTCCTGCACTTTCCTATCAAATTAGAGGATATCCTTTAGATAAGGGTAAGCGATGAGATTTCTATCGCATGGCTGTGTGCCTCATAAGTCACAAAAATGGAAGAAAGTGAGAAACCCTCCCAGTAAAAATGTTAGCTTTCTTCTCCCACCAGGGATGGACTGGGAGTTGGTCAACCAGTCGAGCAGGAAACAGAAGCAGCCCAGGATACTTCCGTCCCTCCAGATGGATGGGTGGGACTCCTGCTCACTTTGGTCTGCTTATGTATAGTCAGTGTTAGTTTCAGGATCTTTTGTGAAGGTGTTTGGGCAAAATGATCTTGGTGGACCCCCAAACCTGGGTGGGTCCACTTCTTCCTGCTCCTTGCTTTTCCACAGGCATCTGGTTGGCCACTGTGAGAACAGGATGCTAGACTAGATGGCTCATTGGCCAAAGCCAGAAGGCTATTCTTATGATCTTACATTCTTCCTCTTGCCACTGCCTAGTCGCTCGCTCTTCCTGTGGACAACCAGCCTCATATAACCTACATAAGTCTAATTAATGCATGAAGGGGTTAACACCATAGAGTAAGCTGTTCTACCAGGCTTAGCTTTGTCACTTTTCCTCGCCTTGGGAGGATATAGGTAATTAAGCCTATTGTTGTATTCAGTTTACTTTATAATTCAGAGTGTGAACAGGTCTGAGCTACTTGCTCCAGCTCAGCCGCATGGCTCTCACCAGCCATTCTTGAGCGCCTATACCAATAAGCTAGGCATTTTTATCACAAAGCTAAATTTTACTGCCCATGCAACTTTTCTGACTGGTGTATGGGAAAGCACGTGAACCTGACCTTTGGAGAGTTTGCAAGAAGACCATTTAAAAACTTATCAAATGCATACCTTTGTGAAAATAATATGCAGAAGTGCATTACATATGGGAAAACGGCTTGCAAACATGCACGTATTAGGTAAAAATACATGGAGTAAGAAAACAATTGCATGTATTAGGATGAGAATATGCTGACAATTTTTCTCATCACAGCTTTCTTTTTCTAGCAAACTGATGTGGAAATGTGGCAAATTGAGTTTATGGTTGGAAAAAAAAAGAGAAACCAGGAGAAACCAAAATTGGCAGATTCATTTATCTCTAATCACTGCTAGAGCTGTAAAGATAGCTGGTGTTGTGAGGCTCCCAGCTTTTCTTAAGCATGTCTTCCCTAGGTCAATTGGCACCACCCGTTCTGTCTGTGCAGATCCCTCTTTTATAGTAACTCTGCACCTTTACTTCAAAATGGAGCAGTAATGCACCCACTTGGCTGGTCTTGCTTCATGGAGTTAATTGTAGAGAGCCTTGCATAGTTACAATTGAATTAAAATATCCTGAGCCTGACTGGTTTCAGGAAGCATTAATTATATCTCAGTAAGAGGAAATGAAAACCCCATCAATTCAGAGTTCAGCTCTTTAGGCCCAGACAAATAACATTAAGGTGACATTAAGAGTTCAGACTATATATCTCTGACTAAAGAGTAAAAACGTTCTTACTTGCTTTGGAAACAACAAATGCAAGGCCTGCAAAACAAGGCACTGGGAGCTTCCATGGCTGCCATCAAAACCTAAAGACCACAACATTTGTCTGTAGTACAGAAGTGCTTCAATTAACTGAGTTGGGGAAACCCTTTTGGTATGAGAAATGGGTAATGCACCACCTCCCCTGACACTTTCACACTCAAAGCCCCACTTCCCAAAGCTTTTTTATTTTATTTTATCTTACTTACAAGGAAACAAAGGCACTTAGGCTCAGTTACATATATTTATCTGTAACGCCCAGTGAACCCCAGAAAGTTAAAACTTCTCTTGAAGTCCAAGGGCCTTTTGTGTATGTCTTAGAGCAGGGTTGCAGCCCTCCAGAGGTTGTGGGACTCCTAACTCCCACCAATCCATCCAGCAGCGACAGTGAGAGTCAGGGCCGGCCCAAGACATTTTGACACCTGAGGTGAACCACAAACTCCCTTGATGAATTTCAGGCATTGTAATTTACCCCTCACAGAATTACAGTTCCCAGCAACCCTTAACAAATGACAGTTTGAGGGAAGAGTGTGCTTCAGATGTGCTCTAAAGGCAGCAATGGTAGGCCTGGCAGCTAGAAACCATGGCAGTGATGGGGGTAGACATTCATTGAGAAAAGGGGGACCACTGAGGATGGAGTGGGGCTGGTTAAACATGAGATGAGATCTTCCTCCCAAACAAGTATCCCAAATGTCTCGTTCAAAGGTTGGTCTTGCCCAAATGATGCTATGCTTTCTTCATTTTTCCGGCTGACATCCTTCATGATATGACTGCACAAGGCATTGGCTATTTGATCTGAATCTGTTGCAAGCCCTGACAGATGGCACTGGGTGATCTTTCTAGAGTGGATGAGAAAAGTGGTGCAGAGAAGAAAAAGCAAGACCCCTTTCTTGCAATTGAAGGTCTCCAGCAGTTTGCTTGATAGCCTATCTTAAGCTCACCAGAGTCAATGAGCCATTCTAATCTAACTAATTAAGACCCTCAGCTTTTAAAGTTAGAAATGAACCAAATAATCTTGGTTGTCTGCACAATTCCAGTAAACACGAGCATCAACATCATCACTCTTTTCCTTCTCTTCCAAAGTCCAAAGCAGTTACCGGTACATTGTTCAGATCCTTATTCTTCCTCTCCCCATGCTGACTGCCTCCTTTCCATAAAATCACCCTAATTTAGCAGCTTTTTTAAATAATAAAAAAACCCACACCTCAAACAAACTGATGAGTAGCAACTGAAATCTTCCCCCATAGCTTCCAAGGGAGATCTTGGCACAAAATCCAGTGACAACAACCCATTGCCTTTCACCTCTTCCAATGGGCTTTCGCAACACCTGACCCTTCAAGCTGAATGTGGTTCTCTGGCCATATGCTCTTTGGCAGCCCCTGGGGGTCTTGTGAAACCTGCTGGTTTTGCTGTCTGCCTGGAATTGCAAGAATAGGGGATTGTCAAGCACCGGATAGGGCACCATAGAAAGCTGGTTGACTGTGTTTGGCTTGGCGGGCCATAGGATGAGCAGGTGTAGAATGAGGATGAAGAGAGGAGAAGGAAATCATGGATTGGGGGAGCGTACAGAGAACCATGACTCCTATATGTTCAACAGAAATGAATGGTTTCCAAACTGTTCTCCCTGACGTCAAGTCTAAGAACTTTCTTTTGTTGGAATAGTGAGATTCTCTGAGCACTGGCATAGCATGCCTGAGGCTGTGGGGGTGGTGGCCCTGGGCATGTGATTCCGAGGGCACAAGAGGGCACAATGAGGTGCCCCCATGACAGATGCCCTGCGGGGAGACAAGCCGTGCCAGGGCCAGGCCTTTGGGTATGGGACAACTCTCCCTTCTCCCAGAGAGAAAGGAGAGTGTGGCTCTGCGTTGGCCATCTGAGCTACCCGCCCCCACTGGAGAGAGATAAACTGCACTAGGAATGGGGAACTGGTGGCCCCTCACATGCTGTTGGCTCCCCCACCCCTAACATTGGCCAGCTCTGGAGGACCATGAGTTCTCTATCCCTAAATTTCACTCAGCTCATCCAGATGCTGCCTCTGAACAGAGATACTCTGTTTAGCTATCCTGACTAATATCTGTTGGTAAACTTATCCTGTATTGATTTAATTTTTTTTTAAGCCATCTAAGCAATCAAGAGGTAATTGAGATCACTGACTCAGTTGTGGTGATGTGCTGATGGGAGACACCGGTGCATAGCTACAATGAGCAAATATGTCCATTTAAATTGCAGCCTTTGTCTTCCTCTCTGCAGTGCTTTTGTTCCTCTTAATTCTGAGATTTATGTAATATGTAAAAGTTTTGAATCCCCACCTTATGGACATTTAATATATGTTTGTAAATTGGTCTCAGTGTAGCCTGCTCTCTTATCCTGAAGGTTCGAAGGCTGATAGAGTAATTTCTGATCTCTTCCACTGCATCAATAGACATTCACATAAATTCATGTGGCAGTTTAGAGCCAATTAAAATTTATAAGCCACAAGGAGTGAGTGAAATTCTGAGGATTAATTTACTCACTGGAGTATTAATCTGTGTAATGTAGTAGGTTATCCTCCAGTAATCTTGGCTATGCAGAGATAGGGAGATACATTTCCTTGCATGTTTTACTGTAAATGCAGTAATTAGTCCCACTGGGCCAGCGAGCTCGAACGGCTACGGCGGGTGCTACCGGCACAGCCTCAGCATGAACTCTGAGAAGGAGAAGAAAAGAACCAAATCAGCAACTTGAAACCGAGCTGCATTCCTAGGGAAGGAGCCACTTCGCCTCCCGTTCTTCCTGCTGTGTGAGTGTGAGATTAGGCCGAGACGAAAAGGCTCAAAAATAGGGTATGATGATTACAAGGTGTAGCCTCCCTTCTGCCACCAGCACAGAGCAAAAGAGAGACATGTCGGACACCCCTCCCAGAAAGATCTCAGTGACAGGGACTGAGGCATTGCCAAGGTGTCCTTGTCAACCTCCTGTACGAATGAATGGGATCAGCAGTGAAGCAGCTCCCCCAAGAGCGGCAGCAGCGATAAAAGAGGCTCAGTCAGTAGAGCAATGGACTCTTAATCTCAGGATCTTGGGTTCAAGCCCCATGTTGGGCAAAGAGATTCCTGCATTGCAGGGGGTTGGATGAGATGACCCTTGTGATCTCTTCCAACTCTATGATTTTATGAAAGTTCAAACCTATTTCCCCCTCTTATTCTTTCTCTGTTCCTTCCTTCTTCCCCTCCAAGTTAGTCCAAGTGTGAGTTTCCGTGCAATTGTGCTGGCTTCTTTGCTCCAGTTTGTTGTTGTTGTTTAGTCATTTAGTCGTGTCCGACTCTTCATGACCCCATGGACCAGAGCACGCCAGGCACTCCTGTCTTCCACTGCCTCCCGCAGTTTGGTCAAATTCATGCTGGTAGCTTCAAAAACACTATCCAACCATCTCATCCTCTTCTCCTTGTGCCCTCCATCTTTCCCAACATCAGGATCTTTTCCAGGGAGTCTTCTCTTCTCATGAGGTGGCCAAAGTATTAGAGTCTCAGCTTCACGATCTGTCCTTCCAGTGAGCACTCAGGGCTGATTTCCTTCAGAATGGAGAGGTTTGATCTTCTTGCAGTCCATGGGACTCTCAAGAGTCTCCTCCAGCACCATAATTCAAAAGCATCAATTCTTCGGCGATCAGCCTTCTTTATGGTCCAGCTCTCACTTCCATACATCACTACTGGGAAAACCATAGCTTTAACTATACGGACCTTTGTTGGCAAGGTGATGTCTCTGCTTTTTAAGATGTTGTCTAGGTTTGTCATTGCTTTTCTCCCAAGAAGCAGGCAAAACCTATACTTGGAATGGCTTTTCTCCCCCGACTTTGAGTGATACACCTTAAGCTTTCTTCATCCTTCCAACCAGCAGTCTTACCAGACTCTTTCTTTCCGCACATTTCTGCAATGTATTTACCAGACTCCCAACATCCGGTGCCACCTGGAAAGGGGTTGATTCACCCAGCTCCATGACTGACCCAAGGACTAGCAGCAATCTGTTTTGTGGACGCGACTCTTTCCCTCTAACCTTTGGGCTCGTGGGATCAGCGTGTATGCAGATGCTAGAGAGGTGTGTGCCAATAAAGGTAATAAAATATGTTGAAAAGAAAGAAAGGAAACCAATGTCCCTGCTGCATTTGTTCATTATCCTCTGATGTGAACGGCAAAAGGTACCTCTTAAGTCTTGTGAGAAAGGAGGACGTTAGCCCAGCTTTCATCCTCCCTCTTCTTAAATCCATAGGTGACCGCAGGTTGGCAAACGGGTTCCTGGGTTATTATCTTGCTTTATTGCCTTTATCTAGCATGGTCTTGGGGACGGAGATGCGGCAGGCAAAGGGCAGAGCCTGCCGAGTTGCCTTCATTATCTAGATGACATGAGAATTAGCCCCAGCGTCGCCCTTCCTTATAATGAGTGTCCTTCATCTGATACCGGCGCCCCTTGCAGACCTCTTTTTAGCCACAAAACCAGGCAGTGGCCCAGCAAATAACTGCAATTTTGTCCTTAAAAAAAGAAAAAGCACCCCAGAAAACTGAAAGATGTATTTCTCCGTAACATCAAGTAGGAGACAGCGCTATAGAAAAAATGGAAGATATAAGGATTATTCAGTGGAATGGAACTGCATTTAAAACAGGATTTGCGTCTGTACTGTAGCCTTATAAGCATCCCTTGGGACTCACTGGGGGTTGTGTCTCAATACATAAGACCATAAGAAGGAAAGCCGCTTCTGAGCTAGAGAGGAGGTGGGGTTGCGGGCTTCACGCCCCCTCCACGTGCGCGGGGGCTGGCTCTCCCCGGACACGTCACCCCTTGGCCAGCCACTCGACTGGCTTGGGGTGTGTGGCCTGCCCTATTTAGCGCTGGCGCGGCTGAGGATCTACCTCTTTCGACCGCTTCAGCTGCTCTGGTTTCCCACCTTCCCTCCCTTTAAGGTTTCCTTTGACTTTGCTATGGACCTCGGTTGGTCGCTGTTAAGGGGCCTGGTAGGAATTTTTTCCACTTGGCAAATTGGCACCAGCCACTTGGTTTTTCACCTACCTCGTAGCGTCACAGCTTCCTTGGCATTGGCAGTTAGGCATTGGTAGGGGTATTGTTATGTAGATGGAAGGGGGGGGAGGAAGCGCCATCACCTCCCCCACATATTGAAGGGTAGTCCGATAAAGGATTCCAGGGGGCATGGCCCTGTCCGAAGCCTATGGAGGTGAGGGCCTAAGGCACGCCCCCGAGCGGTGACCCCGGGGGAGTTCCTAGTTGATGTGCATCAGCAGGACTCCCCCTACTGGTGGTTAACCCTTCCCGGACTTCAAGCAGACAGGCTGGAGCCAGATAGTCGATTAGGACCAATGCCTAAGCCAATACCGCTCATTACCTGTAACCAATAAAGTTGTGGCCATTTTAGCCCATTAACCTAAATAATTGCGTCATGTGTCTTTATTTCTGCTGGGGGGAGGCGGGAACTTGCCACGCAACCTGTTGGATCTGATCAAAGGTCTGTCTGGCCTAGCATCCTGTTTTCAAAGCAGCCAACCAGATATCCATGAGAAGCCCATAAGCAGGACATGAAGACAAGAAACTTCTCCTGCTTGTGACTCAAAGCAAGTGTTGCCCTTAGAGAAGGAACCAGATCTCAAACCCTCCTCCTGATGCCACCATCTCACCCACACATTGAGGCTACACAGGTGTGCCTATCTAGGGCTTAGAACAAGTAGCATTTCACAAAAAAGTCACCTTGAAACCTAGCAACCAATTTTTTGGTTCAAGTACCGTGTAACTACAGCTCCCATGTCATCAGGGCCAACATCTAAATGATGGCTGCCATCTCACTGGCACACCATCATGCTGGTTAGGGCGGTCACCACACAGCCCCCCAGGCCTAAAAGTGAAAATACCCATTACCAAAAGCCACCCACGCTTGATGGATATCCTGGTATGAGAGGGTGTCTGTCCATCCCACAAGGAATGGGTCCCAAATGCTTGCATAATGTAGTTTTCCTTCCCATTCCAAATTCCTTCCCAGCCCTACCATCAACGAAACTGTTTCCCCAAAGGTCGTCACCGTTTTCCCCAAATCTAAATAAAGATGCGTGCAATTTTTTTTGCAGCGGAACTCCCCAGTTTATATTCAGAAAAGGATTAGCACAGCAAGTCTGCCTGCTGATGTAGAAATGATTGCATGCCCAACTCCTTTCCCATCTCACAAAGCTACTGAACGAAACAGCCATGGGGGGGGGGGGGCTTACATTTTAAGACGGAAAGGACTGAAAGCCAGACTTAGGACTGACCAGACGTATCAGGATTTCAGTGGGTTTCCCCAGCCCAATGGGCACCCATGGGGGAGGCAGTCCTCCTTGCACCCCCATGAACCACAGACCACCCCCCAAGTGTCCCTATTTTCCAAGGACAGTCCCATATTTACAGAAGCCATCCCAGTTTCTGATTTGATCCAGGGATGTCCCGCTTTTCCTTAGGACGTCACTATTTTCATCAGAGAAGTGTTGGAGGGTATGGAGTTATGTGACCCCCCCGAGCCAAGGAGATACAACCTTTAGAAGACATCTGAAGGCAGCCCTGTATAGTTTTATTATGTTTTTAAAATATGTTGGAAGCCACTCAGAGTTGCTGGGGCAACCCAGTCAGATGGGCAGGATATAAATAATAAATTATTATTATTATCATTCTGGAATGGAATTATTTTCATCGTAGAAATGTTTGAGGGTATGGAATCATAATCATCAGCTTTCCTTTCTTTCCTTCTAAAAAGAGCCAGTTTCTAGCGTTTATAGAACTTGAGACATGAGGCAAACAGGCACTGCTCTCCTAATTTTTCTGAGAAAGTAGCCTGCCTCCTCACTCCCTGCCCTCCTTTATTACTTATTATTTTAAATTTTATTTAGATTGATATATCGCCCTTCCTCGAAAGATCTCAGGGTGGTTCACAAGATAAACACCTAAAGAAGTAGTTAAAATAAAAACAGCAAAACATGTTTTATTTGCCCACCTTCTAAAAATATTCCTGGGATCTCAGAAGGCCTGGCAAGCAACCCAAGAGGGAACACCATACACACAAAGCCCTGTTGGGGTCTTCCTTTTACTTATGTGTAAGTAAACATGTGAGGGTGAATAGCAGTGTGCTGCCAAGCCCCATCCCCTCTGGCATGTGAGCTTTACCCAGTTTACACCTGGCATGAATGTGATGGCAAAGGTCTGATGTAGAGAGCCTCCTTTACTTGCTGATGTTCTCCACGTGATGTCACAATCAGGGCTCTAAGTCACACAGGGAGCTTCCTAGAGTAGAGCTGGCACTCTGCTTGGTCATGTTTCCATTGGGAAACCAAGGCACAGCGGAGACTGGTTTCTTTAAGAGAAATGGTTTATTGTTCACATAGGTAAAAAAAGGTAAAGGACCCCTGGATGGTTAATTCCAGTCAAAGGCGACTACGGGGTTGTGGTGCTTATTTCGTTTTCAGGATGAGGGAGCCGGCGTTAGTCCACAGACAGCTTTCCGGGTCATGTGGCCAGCAGGACTAAACCACTTCTGGTGCAACGGGACGTGATGAAAACCAGAGCGCACAGAAATGCCGTTTACCTTCCCGCCACAGCGGTACCTATTTACCTACTTGCACTGGCATGCTTTTGAACTTCTAGCTTGGCAGGAGCTGGGACAGAGCAATGGGAGCTCACCCCGTCATGGAGATTCGAACTGCCGACCTTCTGATTGGCAAGCCCAAGAGGCTGGGTGGTTTAGACCACAGCGCCACCCGCATCCCATACTATTCCATATTGTTCCATACTGTCCCATATTGTTCACATATTTACACCTGGGTCTACTTTGGAGAGAGTTCAGAGCATTACAATCTTCGTGTCTGTCGCAGCCTGCCAATATGGTTCTGCCTTGCATGGCCTCTGCCTGGAGCTCTGGCTCCACCTTTCTCCTTCCCAAGAACCATTGCCCAATCCCAACACCCCCCGCCCCCAAGCCTTGTGTAACATAACACTTTCACCTGCTTTGGGCGCAGCCTGCCCCCTTCCCTGTTTTCCTAGTCCTGGAAGCTGAAATCCTAAACTTTCTCCATCCACAGTAACCATGGGAACTCCCCCCCCCCCCGATTCTGTCCACTGGCAAAGAATCTCGTCCGCCTGATGGTTTTCACTGATGCGTTAAAGACTTGCTTCCAGAATCTTTCGTCATTCTTAGCCATTTCTATCTCAGATGCCTGGCCTGGCATCTTCCCTTCAATACGTCAAATATTATCCAAATCCTACCACTTATTAATTTCTAACACTCACTTGCTCTAGCAGTTATAAGTTAAGGTTACCAGATTTTTTTCAATGAATCCAGGGACACTTTTCAACTTCAGTCGGAATGACAGTGGAAATGATAGAGGACTGATTTGTAAATCCGGGGACTGTCCCCAGGAAATGGGGACACCTGGTAACCATATTATAAGTGCCCCCGCACCCCCAAACTCTGTTAACACCCCCCCAAGATCTATAACAATATCTTGACTTTGCTCCACCCTTTGAAAACAGCTGGGTGAGTTGTGCTGGTATTTAAATCTGAAATGTAGAATTTGGGTCCTGGCGAGGGCTGGGCAATATATCGTCCAAAACCGATCTGAACTCCATATCGTGATAATCAGTTTCATAATTTTTGACCTGTCAATATATTGTGAATCATGATTCCTGCAGCCCCTGTTAACTCTGCTGGCTTAGCTCTCCTCTGCAGGGGGCAGAAAATCACCAAAGCCAGTCAATGCCTCTACACGGCTCTATCCTTATTTCAGACATTGTGATATGTCAGTATATCGCAGTGTTGAAAAACAGATATCGCCCAGCCCTAGTCCTGACCATGTATACCAAATTTCATTCCCATATAGTATCGATCACTAATCATGGGAGACATCATGTTTCAAGCAAGCAAGCAAACAAAGAGAGAATGCCAAACAGACAAAATCAGGTAACCACTTTTGCAAATCATAGGCAAAGGAGCAAGTTCACACCTTGGCTAACAAGCTACCTTCTTGTCAGGGGAGTAAAACAAACAGCCATGTCCCCATTAGTGGGTGTCACCAAAGGCATCCAAGCAACAAGGCAGGAATGCAAATTAAAAGCAGGTCAGAAAGGTGATCAGGTAGCTCAGTAACCAGCACACACAAGCGTCGGCAAGTCATCTCTCACAAGATGCTGCTCATTGTCATTCAACTCCCCATAGTGTTCTAAAACCTAGATGATCAGATAATAAGAGGTTGAGTGGGATGCATAACATCAAACTGATTAAATTTGTTTACAGATAATTCTTTCAAGGTTCCAGGAATATCATGTAATTTTCAAGGTTTATTTCCAACCGATTTTGTGTAATGTATTATTGACAACATCCTTGTGGACCATTTCGACAATGTCATTCAGGATAATTATTTCACAACAGATTTTTCAGAGCTCCTGATTCCTGTTGGGATTTGCTTTTGCATAAATTATGATACAGAATATTTAATCAGAGCCCTGTTAGTACCCCATGGATTGGTGTTTTGTTATTATTATTATTTAGGAAGGAGGAGAGGGGCGGAGGATGAGAAAGGGACGGTTTTGTAGGATTTCAGCCACAAACACATTTTCCTCCTCGGCGCGGTTTTCTACAGTGCAACGGGCAAAATGCTATCCTCTAGCATCTTTGGTTAATAAAGCTTTAAAAAGAAAAGAAAGGGAAAGAATTGCAGGCATTAATCTTCAAACTACTTTAAATTAAATATTAATGTAAACAGATCACAAAATGCAGTTTATTTTTTTAAAAAAAGCATTTTCAGCTGCATTTTTGTTTTGATTATTCCAGTGAATGTTAGTCCCCTTTAGCTAGCAATGACAGAAGAATAATAAAACTGAGAATTAAGAACTGTCTTAATATAAGTTGGGACCAGCTAAGCCAAAGTGCCACTCAGCAGACTAATATACAAACAGGGATGCTGAGAAACACCAAATTGGCTTCAGTTCATGGCTAGGATGTTGTGTCCAGCAGGCTCAGTCAAAGGTTGTGCTAACCCGACATTTAGGGACCAGCTATCCCTTGAGCTTGACGTATGTCTAAAAGACCGCCCCTGAGCTCCAGACTTCAGAATGTATCAACAAATCTCTCACCTTTTCCAATAATCCTTTACTCAAAAGTCGGTACTGGATGCTCTGTTTACAAAAGATAATTAAGCATGCAGATCAATATGGCGCTGGGATTTGACAGTATTAATGTATCAACGGCAAAGCCATATGGATTAATTTTCTAATTGACAATGGACCGCTCCGTTTTTTGAGCTATGAACTGTAACTCGCAGAAAGCCATGCAATAGATTCATTAGGATTTGGGTTCCTTAGAATAAGTCAGAATGAACCATGCGCCAGAGGCACCGATTTGAGCAGAAGATTAGGGGTGCTGATGATGCATGTGATGCCAGGATGCTAGGAGGAGTCAGGGGGTGGTACCAAATGCTGTGGGGGCCCAACTTCAGTGGCCAATGGCTCCTCTTCTCGGGCACTTGGCTTCTTCCTCCTCCTCCTGCCACTGGCCTGTGGATGCTTCTCCCTCCCTTTGTGGCAGGAGAAGGAGCCACGGAAGCCATGCCATGCCACACATGGCTCCTCGTTCGACCACCTCTGCTCCTGCTTGTCCTCAGCACTGGGAGGGGGCAAATATTTTATTGGCGGCCCCGAAGGGACCTGGGAATTGGTACCTATGCATGCACCTAAAGCTTACCTGTAGGAGGATCAGACAGCCCTCTCCATGCTCTTGAGGAACATGCAAGAAGATCCAGAGATGGACACATCTGTTACCCTCATGGGTTCTCGGAACATAGCGAGGAAGGAGAGAGTCATTTGCCCCCCCCCACAAACATGCACAACCTCTTCAGAGAAAGTCTGAGCCCTGGGAAAGGTAGTATTCTTGGACCATTCATATTCCAGCCTCCAAACAGGTTTGCTTCTGCCAGATCCCACACTTTCTGCTTTGGGATGTGCCACATCATGAGTAGGTCAAACAAGCAATGGAGCCGATTAGTTTGACTGCAACTCCCCACAGTACAGCCCAGCAGGAAGAAGCTGCTTCCCATCCCCACTCATTTTTGTTCCTTGTTGAATGCTCAGCGAGGGAAGGAAGAGAGAGCTACTAGCTCCCCCCACTCAGCTCCCTGAAGAGATGAACCACGAGAATCCTTTCCAGTAACCCTGCCACCTAAGGACTTTGGTTACGGGAACCAGCACATTGAACAGCATTGAATTGTACAGAGATTGCAACAGAACTCGCTTCCAGATAAGTGTGGTTAGAATCATCACCTAACATCTTGATCTTACAGGTGTGCATAGGCAGGTGGTGAACAGAGGGCTTGCATGGATGTCGTTACAGTGGGATTTCCCCTGCTTTCCTGTTGGGGAATATCCATCTCATCAATTGCAATCACATCAAAATAGTAGCAGAATACTTGCTGCATGGGTGGCACAACCTGTGGCAAAAGCAGCAAGAATTTATGGCGGTCCTAGGCCCAATCCAAATGTAACCATTTCAGTACAGTAAACCCTGTTCTATTGCATTGGGAACAAGCTCAATTCCTGCATGTTTCCTCTTCACCCCTCCTGTCCTCCCCTCATGCATCCAGCTTCAGCAAAAATAATAACAATCCATTTCTTCTACTGCCATTTCCCATGACATCTGAAGTGGGAAGCTGTGGCTTTAGAGGTCCTTCCAAAGGATACATGGAGCCAAGAGTACCCAGGCTATCCATGAAAACAGAAGGAACACAATGGGGCAATAAGGAGGAGCCACATTGGCATTAAGGCCTAGGAAAGGTCGTGGCTTCCAAGCTCTGATGTGCAAGAATGATGTCGTCACTAATATGGCGTCCAGATTTGCTTTCCCGACATTTAGAGGGCATGCAGGAAATCGACCTGACTACTCCCAATTATTTATGAAATGGGCTGGAGCAGGGATCTGCTTACCAATAGATAAATATGGCTGACTGACAGTCCTTATAAACCAGCAGTGGGACCACATTTTACATTTGGGATTTGAGATGTGTGTACATATTGTGGCCAATGTGGAATGCACAAAGAGATTTGTGCATTTAGGCATTTAAGTACTTCAGGAAGGACATTTTATGCTAATATTTGCAAGTCAGCTTTCATAATTGCTACTTAATCACCTTAGAGTTGCATAAATCTTCATACTGGCATTTCCCCATCTGCCTCCCCTTCTTTCTTCATTATTCTCCTCATTCTGAAAGAAGTGGCTGATACTTCAGGCTCCTCTTTTGAATGATGCTGCTCTCTGCAGCCCTTGAAATGCACCTTCCTCAGAATAAAACCAAGTGGCCTCTTCCTCCCTCCAGTGCGACCATTAAGCAGAATGTCTCATGTGTCAGAGGCTGTGATGTGGCAACAGTGTTCCTATTATTGCCCCGGTGGGCTAGCTAGCCAGTTCTGCACTTCATAAGCTGCCCCATTATTCCAGCTGTGGTGGATAATATTGTTGCATTGCTCCATCTTCTCTTTTGCTTCAGGCAGCAAAATATGTTGGGCTGGCTCTGCTCCTGTCTGAGCCTGGTGTTTATTTGGGGGTCAGTGACTTTGCTACAAGTCTGTTGAATAGCTACAAATAAATCGATGACAATCACACAAAACATTCAACCCATTTACCAACTTTAAAATTATCTGTTTTGGATTTTGTAGTGTGTTGTTGTTTCCTGCAAAGGATGCGTTTCACAAACACAAATTCCACAATTCCAGTTTTGGTCACAAAGGGCACAACCCAGGCAATTTTAAGCACCTTTAACCCTCATTGGTGACAACAGGAAGTACTTGCCGTGCAAATCTATTCTCCATGTAGACTGGTTGAATAAGGATAGGATATTGACTGACTCTTTGCACCAGTGGAGCTCTAGTATCAGGGATCCATATGGGAATGTTTTCAGCACAGGACAGTATGACCGGTGGGAGCCAACAGCATTGCTGTCAGGAGTCCAGGTTCCCAGCTTGATAACACAGTAAGCTTAGTTAATTAAAAAGGAGGATTTATTGCAAAAACAAACATATAGCTCCGGACGGCTCTAACGCAGCCACCGGCATTATCACTCCAGATGACCCTTCTGAAGATTCCTTCCGGTTTCTACAGAATATATTGAACCATTGCCCCTTACGTCTCTTGTTTTGCTTCCTATCTAGCATCCCTCCCATTCACTGACTCTTCGGACTTATTGGATTAGCTCCAGCCTCTTCCTGTTCTGACAGACTGTCTTTGTGTCTGTTTGCTGCTGTTTGAGCTTCCTGAGAACTTTGGCTGTGTTTCAGCCCACTCTCATTTGTTCCCTTGGCAACCGGCATTCCAATGTCCAGAGGATTCACCACTGACTGCTGTGTTCTTTGCTCAGCCTGCATCAAATCTAAGCCTCTCTGTTCTGTAGCAGGCTGTAAAGTTCCACTAGGAGCTGGCTCATTCCTGACAATTGCCATGGAAGCTGGGAAGGTGTTTGTAAGGTTTGCTGCATCATGGTTTGCAGCGGTGCCATTTTGCTGTCACCTTTGCTGCTGGGACTGCCCAGGATCCCAACTGCATTATGCTATTGTTCTGGTGACATTGGCAGCTGCCAGCATAATGGGACAATGGGATTGCCCAGTGGTGGATGACATGGTGGGACAGCAGTGCCCACCTGACCTCCAGTCAGTCGCATTGCTGCTGCTTACGAGGAGGGTGAGGGAGTGAGGCTGCAGCAAGGTTGGCGCAGTGCAAACACACCAGCGGGAGTCCTGGATTGGCTTCATCCAAGTGTCTGCAGTGCATCAAACTCAACACTGCCACACCTTCCCCTTCAACCTTCTGGTAAACAGCAGAGCCATGACTGACCAGAGGCTGGGTGAGCACCACACTGTCTGCTACTAGGATTGCCTTGCCTATCATGTGCTTAACTACAGTGGCAGAACATGGGATGTGCATTCAACTGCCTAACAGTGTCCACGTCACCCCAAAATTCACAGCCTCAGAGATAATAAAAGAAGAGTCATTTTGTTGTCTGGAGTGGTCATTTCCTGGTTTGCATGGAGAAACCCTTTTCAACAGATCCCAGCATGCAGCTGTATTGAGGCAGCACTGAGTGTTAAAATTTTGTGCCTGCAGCAACCATCCCTGTGTGCCCCCCCCCCCCCGCTATGTCACTGCTTTACTTTCCTCTTGGGATTAACTTGAGTGCTTCTTGCAATGGATCTTGCCCATAAATTCTGTGGTGCTAAAATTTGATATTTTACCACATCACACTTTCTCAGTGCTTCCACAGAAAAGCAGTTCATATATGGAGCCCATAGCCTTGCTGGCTAGTGTAGTCTAAATGAACACCTCTTGATAACCCTCTTTTCATATTTACTGTAAATGTTAGAAAACTACTGCCACCCTCCCCCAACTCCACACACACACACACACACACACACACACACACTTGGATGTGAATCCAGATTTGAACATTGCTGTGCCATCCTAACTTGCAAACCCCTGAGGGGTTTCGACTCATCTGGCTTTTACTTTCATTCCACATCACAGTGTCTTCAGTCAGGCTCACCTCCTTCAACACCCCACCTATTTTTCTTCATTATTTTGTATCCTGCAGCAGCAGCAGCAGCAGCAGCAGCAGCGGCAATGGCAGCGGTGGGCTCTGAATGTAAGAATTGATTGACTTGGCCAGTGCCAAGGGATAACAAGCAAAAATTACAGCCAGGAAGTGACTGATTTGAATGCACGCGAGAGCATTAAAGCCTGCCTGGCCTTCACAGGGGCTAAATCATTTGGTCAGCCAGTAATTGCATTAAAACGTCTCTGCAGTTTTGGAGCTACGATTCTGTCTGTGCCTGAGCACAAATACCTACTGTCAAAGGCACAAGTGCTTTATTGGGGTTGGAAGTGGGCAACTAATGGAGCCTTGTCCGTTAGGGTGAATAGGATATTGGCCCATTAACTGTCAGGGAGGTGGATGGGGGCAAAACCAGAATTAGTTGGCTCTGGCTCCACCTACTGGTAGGCTCCTTGCCTTCCATCCTACCAAACCCAATGAGCACCAATGGGCAACAGACATCACTGCTGGCAACCCTTCCTGCCCTCCCAGCCAGTCAATTCTGCTTTCCTCAAACACAAGGAAAGCTTGGCCAGAGCTGTTCTTCCCCCCACCCCCTTCAACATGTGAATTTCCTGCTTTCCCAGCTACTGGAAAATGGAAATTTTGAGGATTTGTTCCAAACAATGCTTCTGTTGTCTCAGTCAGATCCCTGTGTATGTTCTCAGCGTTGGAAGTCCCTGCCAGTTCCTTGACTTATGTGGCTGTTGGTACTGAACATACACAGATGCTGGGATTCAAAAAGCTACTTGAGCAGCACTGTGGGACTCTGGCAGGTCTGGTGGGTTTTTTACACATCTCCCCTTATAAAACAGTCACCCACATGTTATACAGTGGTACCTCTGGTTACGAACTTAATTCGTTCCGGCGGTCTGTTCTTAACCTGAAACCGTTCTTAACCTGAGCTACCACTTTAGCTAATGGGGCCTCCCGCTGCCACCGTGCCGCTGGCACACGATTTCTGTTCTCATCCTGAGGTAAAGTTCTTCACCCGAGGTACTACTTCTGGGTTAGCGGAGTCTGTAACCCGAACTGTTTGTAACCTGAGGTGTTTGTAACCCGAGGTACCACTGTATATCAAAAGCGGCTTTGGAGAGTTCACTCAGCTTCAAAAGCAACATGTGACGGATCTACCCAAAGCCGTTTTTGAACAAGGGATTAGTTCTTCAGATCCCAGCCAATAACTCAAAACTGTTCCTGCTTTAAGAGGCAAATTAAACCCTTTAACTACATAATCTCTCTCTCTTGCAAAAGAAAAAAGAAAAAGGTGAGCTCCCAGCTTTCCATCATACTCTATCATAACCAAGAAACAGAACCTTGGATGGAGCTATGTAGGTTAGTTGTTGCCATCTGTCTGTCTCAGGAGACAATGGAGGAGTGTGCAGATATGAACAAGATTCATTTTCAGTGCCTGGAGCCAAAAAGCGTAGTAAGTGGGCTCAGTTTCCATCTTAATGTAGTCTCTCTTTTTTGTAATGATTTTTATTAAATCTTCCAAATTGTTGCATAACTCCAATCACACACCTCTCTTTTTTTGTTACACATTTTCTTCTTGACTTCCCATCCCTCCTTTCTTGATTTTTTTTAATTCCCCCTTAATAGCCGCACTAAAACACATCTATATTTATTTTCTGAGCTCCCAATTTTCTACAAATCCTTTTTCTTTCCTCTAAATAAGTAAATAATCACCATTTACACCTCTGGGGAAAGGTGGGTGGTATTCAACTAAGTGTTACGTACACATTGAAATTAATGAACATGTCTTGTTGTACGCTGAAAGAAAATTATATGAAAATGATGTACTGGTGGTATTTGACTCATAGTAAGCTAGCAAAAATGTATAAAACAAGTACAAATACCTGCTGGAAATGTAAAGAAAAAGAAGGTACCTTTTATCATATGTGGTGGTCATGTAAGGCAATAAAAGCATTTTGGGAAATGATATATAATGAATGGAAAAAATGTTTAGAATAACATTTATTAAAAAAAACCAGAAGCCTTTTTTATTAAGAATTGTAGGTACCGAGACCCCAAAGGAGCAGAAAAGACTTTCTATGTATGCAGAAACAGCTGCACAGATGCTATGAGCCCAGAGATGGAAAGAAGAAACAGTCCCTACCAGAGAGGAATGGTAAATCAAGCTATTGGAGTACGCCAAAATGGCAAAATTGACTGGAAAGCTCAGGAACCAAGAAGACAAAAACTTCAATAAAGAATGGGAAAAATTATAATTTATTTAGGAGATCACTGTAAGCAGATGAAAACATTAGAAGGATTTTAATAACACTTGTAATGTAGTAATTATCATGGACAACATGGAGAGATATAAAACATGGATTATGAAATAATATGCAGTTGAAAAGGTTGACAAAAGGACCCATGGAGGGGATGGTGGGAAGTCAGGAGATTCAGAGAAATCTCTAAAGATGGATATGTATTCTACACTTGTAAAAATCAAATAAAAATTATTTTTTAAAAAGAAGTAACGACCCCACTAATGGAGAGAAATGTAGGATGTTGGACAGGAAAACCAGGGGATCCTTTGGGAGGAAAGACCTTTAGCGATGATGTATTACGAAAATCATTTTTGGTCTTTTCAAGTCTACCTTCAAAAAGGACAGGCATTGCTGTTTAAGCTTACCACAATATCCTTTTGTATCGGTCTGCTAGTGAGCCATGGAAATTTACTGCTCTGACCAAGATGGAGGCAAGGAGGTGTTTGCCCCTCTGATGTGATTTAATTGAGACCCAGATGAAGAGCAGCAGCCTAGCTGCCATAAATCATCCCTCCAGGCAAGCTGAGGAAATCAACCATAGAAGGTCTAATCAACGTACAGCCGGCAGTTAACCCCCGGCGCCTTGAGGTGAACATCTCACCCGGTGGAAGTCAATGGGAGCTTTGCCACGGACTTCAATTGGGGCCATGATTTGACCGCAGGCTTTTCATTGTGCTCGCCGAGCTGCCGTCGTTCCATGTCATCCCTCTGAAACGTTTAAGCTCCTCGCACAGACTCGGGGTCAGGCAGTGCCTGATGAGAGCTGACCTAGAATCCTCGTAGCGCAACAGTCCAATTGTCTGAGATCATGTCGCCTTGTTCTGATGCGCAGAAGTCACCCCAGCCTTCGTGAAGTACACACAGCCAATTTCAACTGATTCTAGAGCCATAGATGCAGCGAGAAAAGCAACGGCGGTTTCTCGTGGCTCTGATATGTCAATGGGCCGTGCAGAGTTGCCCAACGAGAAAGAAATCTAGATTGTGAAAATACAATAATATGGGTTAAAAAAGAGAGAGGTTGCTGCTGAAATTCCACCAATCAATTGTGGGGGAACAGAGGCCTACACTCATTATCCATCCCCCCACAATAAAAAATCTAACTGGTAAGGTTTCAACTTTTCCATGCTTTGTCACTGTCCCCTTGCTTCGGCTCAGCCTTTGTATCCACGAGTCTCTTTCTGTTCCTTGCACTGATTCCCGCCCCCTTCCTAGTCGGCAACAAAATATTGATGCTGATCTTGCTTTTTTAACAAAATTAGTCTTAGGTCATTTACTTCCAATATAATTACTCTTGAGTTGCATTATCTGTAACTGGGATAAGAGCTATAAATGTTATGCGTCCAAGTATAATTTCATTTGCAGAGCTTTATGTGATCCCTGTCCCAAGGGACCCAGAGTACTTCTTCACATTGCACAACTTCGAACTTCTATTTCTTTTTTCCCTGTCTGAGTGTCTCTTGCCCTTTTATGAAACTAACTGCTGCAGTATAACTGACCCATTATAATTGGCCCATCAATAATACTCAGTGGGGATGACTTCCAATTGCCTAATTTTACGGTCAATTCTACAGGTGCATCAATTACATACTTAATATGTAGAAGAACAAAAATCATTGTATTACAGTTTTCAAGAAAATGTACTTTAAACTTTGCTGGACAACAGGGAAGACTGAAAATGCCCTTTATATGGCAGACAAGATCTTGAGGTTCATCCATGTAGTAGTGACTCTACCCACCTAGAGCTTTCACTCATTTTCCCACCATTTTTGAAAGATCAGGCCCCCTAAACATGTTTGTTTGCATGTTTTCTGAGAACACCAAACATGTGACAGCAGCTGGCTTTGGAAGATCTCTAGCAGTTTGATGATGAAATGTGCTAAGAAGTAGCTCTGGAAGACTACCAGAATATCTCCATGGTTCTGGAGGACCGCAAGAATATCTCTGTTGTTTTGGAGTGGTTCTGGATGACTGCCAGAATGTAGCTGGCTGCATTCAGATTGTGGAGACCCTACCGTACAAAAAAGAGGTACCAGCCCATCACATGAAAAGACTTGCAACAATACAAAATGGCCTTGTTTACCCGTCAAGTGTTCTGAATTGCCAAGGGCTTGACAAGCTCCCTGTTTTTCAGAACCAAGCAGGCAGCAATACCAGATTTATCGAGCCTTTCATGAGCAGCCCAAGTGGTCAGGGTTCAACTTGAACAGAAGAAAAACAACATACCTGGGATTACATAGGCTTACTGGTGAGACAGTATGGTTTCCAAGCTCTAATAGCTGTATTATTATCTTTTAGAAATTAGCCAGTTTGACATCACCTTGCAACATTATGGTGGAATCTTCAAATCCACTTAAAAATAAAATAAATAAAAACCCTTATTTGAAGGGCTGCATCTTCAAAGGGCCCGTTTCCAATGGCTCACTTGACTCCAAAACTATTTCCTCTATGAACACTTTTTTATTTTCTTGCTTTTTACACTTTTGTCCAAGACTGAGAAAGCAAAATATAAGAGTATCCACATGATCAAACCCTGGCAAACTGAAATCCCCTGCATAATCTCTAAATTCATCAAGTGGCCCACCATGTCAATGCAAGCCTAGATAAAAAGAACTCCTGTTTGTTTGTTTTTGAATTCATGACTCATTAAGTAGTTTGGATGCTCCCCTCCAAGCAGTTTGGACTAGTAAGACATTAATGTATTTTCATAATGAGGAAGAGTGCACATTCTCAAAACTGGCCTAGCAGAATATTAATATCTAACCAGGTCACCACTGTGTTTACTATCAGGGCTGTCCCAATACGTTTTGCTGCCTTAGGCAGAGGAAAAGACTCTCTCTCTCTCTCTCTCTCTCTCTCTCTCTCTCTCTCTCTCTCACACACACACACACACACACGGACCGCCATATTTTCCTGGACTTTACCAGAATTTCAAAGGCGGAACTGATGTTTGGGGGAGGATTTCTGAAAGGCAGCGCTTTGTCAATCAAATCAATTGAAAAATCGTGCCCAACAAGTTTTGGGGTGTCCTGGTTTTTACTTTTTGAAATATGGCAACCCTAAATGTACAGAAGCTGACTGGGCAATGGGATATCATTCAGCAGGCTAGTTTAGAAGGTGTACGGCACACACCTCTGATCTCCAAAAGGTGGGAATGGCTAGGAGGCTCAGGAGAAAATGCTGGGTGGGCTGTCACTGTGGCCTCCCAGCATCTGCCGCCTGAGGCGAATGCCTCACTCTGCTGAACAGTAGGGCAGGCCCTGCTTATTGTTGTCTTCTTCATGCCATTCATGGTTTGTTCACGCAGGATGCTAGTCACATTGGTGGCTGAACCAATTAAAGCTGTCAGGAGCTCACTGATGTTTTGGGGCTTGCTGCATAGGATTAAAAACGAGTGAGAATGAACATGAAGTAAACAATTGCTTGGTGTGTATGTGCGAATTTGTGAGAGAGGAGGCCCCTTCTAATATGTCTGTTTGCTAAATAGCCAACAGAAAAAGGTCTAAGGGTCAACACAAAACATTTCACTATTAAAAAAAGAAAGGGGTTGCTGAAATAAAATACTAATGCCTCAACTAATCCTCTACCCTGGAGTTATCCTGGAGAGGTTGTGCTAAAATATTTCTGTTAATCATCACCACAACCACCACCATTAGTTTATTTGTATACCACTATTCCACAAAAAGAATCATGCTCCAGGTGGCTTGCAACAAAGAAAGCAGGAATATACAGTGGAACCTCGGTTGTCAAACGCTTCGGAAGTCAAACACTTCGGCTTTAGAATGCCGACAACCCAGAAGTGAATGCTACCATTTTCGAATGTGCTTTGGAAGTCCAACAGCTCCTGAGACACATTTCTCCATTTTTTCAATGGATTTTGCTGACCAGCAATTGTGCCTTGGTTGTCAAACGTTTTGGAAGTTGAATGGTCTTCTGGAATGGATTACATTTGACAACCGAAGTTCCACCACAAGAACACTTTCATAATAACATAATAAAACAACGACATGATAGCAAATATACCAACATACCCCCCCCCCAATTACATTTCAGCACTATAGATATAACAAGATTACATTAAACCTCCCGGGCAATGGCCAATACAAGAAGTGAGATGGACAATCGCACCTTGGTCTCAGAAAGACTTCTTTCATGATGTTGCTCACAGTCCCCCTAGCAGGCTTCCAAATGCAGCAGGTGGGGTAGCTGGAAGCCCCCTGCCCATGACATTGCTCAAACAGTTTCAAGACAGGGTCCTTGAACACTACATGGGTTGACCTGTTGATATGAGTGGCTGTCTTTTCTGCAAGCCTCCGTTTCTTTGACATCCACTTCATCTCCCACCCTACCCCACTCCTCTGCAGACCTCAGTAACCCCACTATAGTCTTTCTCCTCCATTAAACATTTTGTTATCGTGCTAATGTTCATCTAAATTTCACACTCAATCTTTCAAACGCTCAGGGTTGCCCAGCATGTTAAGGGAAAGAGGCCTTTGAGTGGAGAAAGAAAGAAATTCTGCAGCAAGTAATAGAAGATCACATACTAAAGGTCCCCCTAGTGACCAATTGCTTCATGTTTAACAGGATTATGTGCCTTCGTGATGTCTGACATTTGCATTGGTATTTCCATCTTTAATGTCTTTTCTCAGATGCTTCCTACCTTAAACACACACTTTTAATACCCGTAGCCTCTTGCTTTCCCCATGCTTAAAGCTTCATGGACACAGTGCCCTTTGTGTAGAGATGCTCTTGAAATATGTTCAGAAGCTTTGGCTGGTGCAAAATGCACCGAAGACTCATCTCGACAGCATGAAGCCTCTGTCTGACTGTCAGCCTGCTTTCCTTTTGCCAAGACTTGGAGCTTATCCTATTTATGACATCATACATGGCATCAGAATGTCATGCTTGCAGTTGACCTTGGCTATCTCCATGACTATGGAAGAGGCTTAATAAACCTCCACAACTAGAAAACAATGAAGCTGACTCGCTAGCAAGTTTGATCTCATACTATAGGGATGAAGAAGAGTTTAATGTAATTTAAAAACCTAATCCCAGTACCAAACCAACCCCAAGCACCATTTAATCCAATGGAAGATACCATCTCACTTGTGTGTATTAATACTGAAGCGTGAGTCCATTTTTACAAAAGGGATTAGCCAATGTAATATTCTTTGTGTTAAGGATAAGCTCTTGATCGGACATCTTGATCTGAATATCTCGTCTGGTTGTCTCAAGTCCTTTATTTTAAGGAAATATCGCCTCCAACATGAAATCCTACTGGCCATTACAAAGATATCTATGGAGTTCAATCTTAGATTATACTATAGAGTTTAATGTAACCTTTTCTATGGAGCGCTTGACTGAAGGTACTTTGTGGTTTTTAAAATCGTTTTTATTTTATTTTTCAAATATAGATTTATAACAAAACCAAATACATTTCCATCCCCCCCCCCCGTGGGTCCTAATGTCAACATTTTCAACTGCATATTATATCATAATCTATATTTTATATTTATCCTTATTGTCCATAGTATTTGTTACATTACAAGTGAGATTAAAATCCTGGTAACGTTTTCATCTGCTTACAGTGGTCTCCTAAATAAATTATAAATTTTTCCCATTCTTTCTTAAAGTTTTTATCCTCTTGGTTCCTAAGCTTTCCGGTCAGTTTGGCCATTTCGGTGTAGTCCAACAGTTTAGTTTGCAATTCAGTTAGCAGGTACTTTGGATGAGGAATGGCAGCTTCCATTTCATGACAGCTTCAGTTGCATAGTTGTATTCAACAAGCTATCAGCACAACAACTTTTGCCTGCACAACAGAACTTTGCCCCTCTCCTCTCCCCTCACAACTTCTATGGGGTGGTGGCAGTTCCCAAACCCTCAGGAGCAGATTTGGGGAAGGGGCAGGACACGGCTGGAGAGAAGCGAAATTCTTCTGCTAACAGAATAAATCCATTGGATACCCATGGACTCCATGTGTCTAAGCAGTGAATGGGAAAACATGGGAGTGAATGATTTGCAAGACTGGATGGGCTTATCTTCACTCCAAGCTCCTTCCCCATGTTGCCCTTTCTTCCCCTTTTCCTGATGCTGATCTTTACTCTTCCCCTGAAATCTAGTTAGCACTTTCCACACCCGAAACCTCCATTCAAACTGGAAATACTGAGGAAAACTGCAGTGGTGCTCTGAGAGAGAAGGTGTGCTGTTAATAAAGGTTACCAAAATACTCCAGCAGCACTCTTCCCTGCTAAAATGAACCACCTCATTTTGGGAAGCCTTGCTGGCTGAAGGACAGGATATAAGGCGTCAGCCAACTGAGCAGTTTTACTTGCGCAAACACTTTGGGCTGCGCAACAGAAAACCCACGCCCTCTCCTCTCCCTGTGTAGTCCCTGACTGAACTCTGGAGGGCTGGAGGGAACCCTAGAATATATTTCAAGGGTGCAGCGGGCTGGGAGAGAGAGAGAGGAAGTTCTGTTGTGCACCAAAAGTGCTTGCAGCAGCAGAACTGTTTATTTGGAAGCGGGTGGCGCTGTGGTCTAAACCACTGAGCCTCTTGGGCTTGCTGATCAGAAGGTTGGTAGTTCAAATACGTGCGACGGGGTGAGCTCCCATTGCTCTGTCCCAGCTCCTGTCAACCTAGCAGTTCAAAAGCATGCCAGTGCAAGTAGATAAATAGGTACCACTGTGGCGGGAAGGTAAACGGCGTTTATTTGGATACCACCCTCCAATATCCACATAGATGAAAAGAAACAAACTGCATCTGTTCTGCAAATGAGTAGGGACATAAGAAGAGCCTGCTGGATCAGGCCAAAGGCTCATCTAGTCCAACATCCTGTAACTCACGGTGGCCGACCAGATTTCTGTGGGAAACCCATAAACAGGAGCTGAGCACAAGAGCACCATTGGCTCCTGCAGTTTCTAGCAACTGATATTCAGTGACGTAGAACAATAGCTGGTGGTCCGGTTGGAGGAGCTGAATTTCACGTTACAATGCAGACACAATTTTCCCAATCCAGTGTTGGCTTCATAATATTAATGCAGAAATGGGTGGCATTTGCAGGGAAGGATCAGTGGCCAGTGTGAGTGTTAAGTTGTGGGTAGACATGGCAGACGACGCAGCAATTTCTCCAAAGCAGCTCTTTATTTGTAAGCTGGAACAGAACTGAACAGCAAACAGCTCAGCCCGCCTGCTTTTATAGGCAGCCAGCTATCAACATTGTAGCAACAACAACCCAGGGTTTCATGCCTAAAGTAACTGAAGTTTTCACCTGAGTGAAAACTATATACATGATACTCCTGGTGGCCAGGGTGAGAACTTCAATACATAACAGTGAGAGTGTGCTTAACCCATCCCTACCGACTCTCCCTGATAAACACATCCTTCCACAGCCACTTTTGTAGTCTGTTTCCACTCAGTCGGGCTCTGAGATGGAAGTAAACATGGATACTGGGTGAGGGGAATGGCCTCAATGGGCACCTACAAGAGAGAAACAGAAGGCAGGGAAGGGTTAAGCACTCTCACCCAACGGTTCTTCCCTACAAATGTCACTTCCTGGATTCATGTCCCCTTGGCCCGTGTGGCTTTTGAAACACGTGTTTGCCAAGGCCAAATATTGTTCTACCCTACTAATGGCCCAAGCAAGAACCACACAAGAGTTCTTTTGGGGCTCCAGTGAACAAGTTCTCATTCAGAATATTATTCCTGCTCCTAGATTTATGCCCCTTCCTTTAAATGAAAATGGGAGGGAACACTAGTGTTTGGGAGATGAGGATTTGCTAGTAGATTTCAGGGTAGCTTTAGAGAAATATATGATGGAATTAGATGTGGCACCATCACAGCATTGTTTTATTGGCAATTAGGTTTCGAACTGGCAAGGCTGTGTGAAAATAAACCTCAGTTATGGGACTGTGGTGTTTCAGCGCCATCTGTCAACAGTTTGCTCCTTATGCCTCAACATGTGTATCTCTGGAAAGAGGGAAAAATGATTTAATAGCACAACTGAAGAGGTGAAGCACACCAAATTGTACTTCAGTTTTTACAACAAAAGCTTTCATTTATGATGTTAGATGTGGTACAAACAAATGTAAATTTATCATAATGTTTAACCGTTGCTTACGCTTGCCAAGACTCCAGACTTTGGAAAGTGTATTATGCTATTTTCAATTTCTCTGAGTGGTAGGAATTTACAAGGCTCGACCTTTTACGGTATCCATTTCCTTGTGAGGCAAGAGTATTGGAAGCTTGTAATATTTGGGAATAGGCAGGTTCCTAGCATTAGCTTTTAAGGCAGAAGCACATTGGACTTTGACAATGCCTGCTTCTTGCTAGCCTGGCGCAAACAGACCTGCCTTCCCTAGTGGTTATATACTAGCTGGCAAAGTGTTTCTCTTCAGCCCCTGCTGGTGAAGTACATTACAGCTAGTAGCCACCAGCCACCAAAAGCAAGCAATGTTCATTTAAGCAAGCAACCATGCTCCAATGAAGCAGCAGCAGCATTAGCTGTTAAGCCAAAGAAAAACTGATTCCCCCCAACTGCGATATTTTAGAGAGTAACAACAGACCCTCCAAGTGTCCCTATTTTCCAGGAACAGTCCCGGATTTACAGAAGCTGTCCTAGTTTCTGATTTGATCTCCGAATGTCCCGCTTTTTCTTAAAGGTAAAGGGACCCCTGACCATTAGGACCAGTCGTGGCCAACACTGGGGTTGCGGCGCTCATCTCGCTTTATTGGCCGAGGGAGCCGGCGTACAGATTCCGGGTTATGTGGCCAGCATGACTAAGCTGCTTCTGGCGAACCAGAGCAGCGCATGGAAACGGCATTTACCTTCCCGCCGGAGCGGTACCTATTTATCTACTTGCACTTTGACCTGCTTTCGAACTGCTAGGTTGGCAGGAGCAGGGACCGAGCAACGGGAGCTCACCCCGTCACGGGGATTCGAACCGCTGACCTTCTGATCGGCAAGTCCTAGGCTTTGTGGTTTAACCCACAGTGCCACCCTATTTTCATCAGGGAAATGTTGGAGGGTATGGAGGTATGTGACCCCCGAGCCAGGGAGATAAATAACTATATAACCTTTAGAAGACATCTGAAGGCGGCCCTTATTAGTTTACCCCTAGCCCATCTGACTAGGTTGCCCCAGACCAGAGGACGGCAACCAAAGGCCCATGGGCCGGAAGCGGCCTATGAGGGTTGCTTAACTGGCCCATCAGCCACCCCGAACCGAGCCGCCCACTTGGCGAGTTCCCACACGCCGCGCTAAACAGGCGCAGCATGGCGTGGTGACCCTCTTCTGCAGCTCCGGAAATTGCTTCTGCGCAGGAGTGATTTTCGGCATCTGGGCATGCGCAGAAGCGATTTCCGGCTCCATGGACATGCGCAGATGCAATTTCTGGCGTCATGCTGCGTCGGTCCAGCCCATGGAGGATCTCCGTGGGAGTGATTTGGCCCAGCCTTCCTGACCCCTGCCCCAGGCACTTTGGACGGCTTCCAACATACATAAAAACATAATAAACCATTAAGCATTTTTTTAAAAAAAACCTTCCCTATACAGGGCTGCCTTCAGATGTCTTCTAAAGGTGATGATGATTTGTTTATTTATATGCCAGCCATCTGACTGGGTCACCCCAGCCACTCTGGGCAGCTTCCAACAAATTAATGGGTTCCAACATAGCTACTTATCTCCTTGGCTCGGCAGTCACCTAACTCCATACCCTTCAACATTTCTCCGATGAAAATAGGGATGTCCTAAGGAAAAGCGGGACCTTTTGGGATCAAATCAGAAACCGGGGCGGCTTCTGTCAGTCGGGACTGTTCTAGGAAAATAGGGACACTTCGAATTATAGACTTGGAAGGTCTGACCATGTAAGGTAGGTTAGACTGAAAAAGAGTGACCGGCCCAAGGTCACCGAGAGAGCTTCGTGGTGGACTCTTCATTTGGCACTCGAGTCATATCACCACCTTTAGATGTAAGGACTAATAGGTCTAGATCAGTGGTTCCCAACCTTTTTTCGGCCATGCCCCCCTTAAGCATCTAATTCTTATTACAGTGGTATCTCGGGTTACATACGCTTCAGGTTACAGACTCCACTAACCCAGAAATAGTGCTTCAGGTTAAGAACTTTGCTGCAGGATGAAAACAGAAATCGTGCTCCGGCGGTGCAGTGGCAGCGGGAGGCCCCATTAGCTAAAGTGGTGCTTCAGGTTAAGAACAGTTTCAGGTTAAGTACAGACCTCCGGAATGAATTAAGTACTTAACCCAAGGTACCACTGTATTCA